AGAGCTATGTGCATTCGCTCGAAGTTAGGAGTCTGATTAAGCTCAGGGCTTCTGATGTTTAACTGTAACATTGGCTACCGTGCCTACAAAACAGATTTGAATCATGGACGAATATTGAAACTATCTACCTAATTTGCCCCTTTGTTTCCAGAGCTTTTTGAGAACTACTTACTATAGCGTAACTGTAGCAGGGAGGTTGGCTTTGAGGGTACTTTCCCAATGTGAAAGTGACACTTGATTCCCACCAGTGAATGGCTGGTGAGCGTCTTTCAGGGAGCATCTCAGGGCTTATCTTCACTTACCCCAAGATCGATGCTGTGGAAATCAGACTCCTGGGCTTCGATTTAGCGGGTCTAGTAAAGACCTGCTAAATTGACTGCTGATGGCGCCCCCATCCACCCTGGTGCACCACTCGGCCATGAGGAGTAAGGGAAGTCAACGGGAAAGTTTCCCCTGTCTACCTTCCACAGTGAGGATACTGCAGAAATTCAACCTCAAGTATGTTGACTCCATCTATGCTAGTCTCGTGGCTGGAGTTGCATACCTTAGGTTGACGTTCTCCAGAAGAGTAGCCCTGCTCTCAGAGAGGGACGCTCCTCTTTCACCCGCCCTCTCTTGAGACCTTCTGCTCCGAGCACCTCCAGTCCCCCTGCGAACCTCAACACAGCTCTGCTCTCCACGTGCAGTATAGCCCCACGAGGCAGGGGAAGGAATCAGGCTACACTATTTGCCTTGGCTCATTTCATTTAGAAATATCCCTTTGGCTTGAGCAGGCTGGGCGTGAAGCTCTCAGACTTGCCCTAGCTGCCCTCAAACTTTACTCCTCCTTTTGCCACTGCCCCAGCTGTAAGGGCAACTCGGTGTTAGGCATTTGGATGCTTGTATAGCAATTGGGAGGGTGTTGTCTTTTGGCCCTGGAGATGTGACCACAACTTAAACTAGTGACATGCCCTTCACTGACCCCATACAGCCCTTCTTGCATGTGTCTGGAAGCTGCCTCTTGCCCTTTCTCACCACACGGACGTACACACAATACTGGGCCCTACCATGCTGACTCAAGGGGCTCGTGTAAATTGGTCAATTGTAATTCTTCTTCCAGGAGACAACAAGTTGGCAAAACGAGATATCACATTTTCATTGCAGCCTTAAAAACACTCAAGAGCGATTTCTCTTTTTCCTCTCATTAATGCTTTCCAGTGTCAGCACTTGCTGATGGCTTTAGGTCAAGGAGGACTAAAATAACTGCTGATGGCCTCCTTTTCCATAAGAAAGCCAGAGAAATAGCATCTGAATATAATGGGAAACTCTTTAATCCTCTCCCTGCTACATCTGCCAAGTGCCGCTCCAACTCTGCCATGTCTGGACATTAGATATTGGACCCCGGGGGATGCTTGAAGAAATAAATACTTGTGCCATTTCCAATGGTGTGTTGTGCTATTGGGGATGATACGATGATATTTAATTAGACAGTGAGACGATCCCCTTTCAGTTTCACATGCAGGCCCCCACCATCATGCATAGTACTCCTAGCTCTTCGGGAAGAGCCATTTTCTCGAGGACACCCCCAGCTTCAGCTGCCACTCACAGAATATTTACCATCTTGCTGCAGCAAAGATGAAGCTCCGAGAAGTTGCAAGGAGCTCAGGAAAGGACAGGGCTTTTAAGCAAGGAAGGGGGAAGCCTTTTGAAACACGGAGCTAGTACACCTAGCCTTATTGGCTGCACGTGATGCCCTTCCCTGACCCGTTTATTCCCTGATGGTGAAATTCACCCCCACGCAGAGAAGCTCTTCTTCCATCTTCTGTGCTCTTCTTCCATCCCACCTACGAGGCTTGGGTGGGGTGAGGTGAATTTCACTGTGTATGGAAAAGAAAGATCGTGGCCAGACAAGCAGGACGTGATCTACCTTGACCGTAGCAAGGCTTTTGATACAGTCGCCTACAATATTCTTGCCAGCAAGTATGGATTGGCTAAATGGACTGGAAGGTGGATAGAAAGTTGGCTAGCTTGTTAGGTCCAATGGACAGTGATCAATGGCTTGATGTCAGGTTGGTGGTCAGTTTCAAGCAGAGTACCCCAAGGATCAGTTCTACGGCCGGTTTGGTCAACATCTTTGTTAATGACCTGGATGAGGGGATGGATTGCACCCTCAGCAAGTTTGCAGGTGACACTAAGCTAGGGGAGAGGTAGATACGTTGGAGGGCAGGGACAGGGTCCAGAGTGACCTAGACAAATTGGAGGATTGGGCCAAAAGAAATCTGATGAGGCTCAACAAGGACAAAGGCAGAGTCCTGCCCTTGGGATGGAAGAATGCCAAGCATTGGTACAGGCTGCAGACTGATTGCTGAGCAGCAGTTGTGCAGGAAAGGACCTGGGGATTACAGTGGCTAAGAACCTGGATGAGTCAACAGTGTGCCCTTGTAGCCAAGAAGGCTAATGGCATATTAGGGTGCATAAGGAGGAGCATTGGCAGCAGATCTAGAGAAGTCGTTATTCCCCTTTATTTGGCACTGGTGAGACCACACGTGGAGTATTGTGTCCAGTTTGCGGGCCCCCTATTACAGAAAGCATGTGGATGGATTGGAGAGAGTCCAGCTGAGGCAACCAAAATGCTGAGAGGGCTGGAGCACATGACCTACGAGGAGAGGCTGAGGGATTTGGGCTGCTTTAATCTGCAGAAGGGAAGAGCGAGGAGGGAATTTGAGAGCAACCATCAACTCCCTGAAGGGGGGCTCCAAAGAGGCTGGAGAGAGGCTGTTCACAGTAGTGACGTATGGCAGAACAAGGAGCAATGGGCTCAAATTACAGGGAGAGAGGTCTAGGTTGGATATTAGGAAAAATGATTTCCCTAGGCGGGTGGGGAAGCACTGGAATGGGTTCCCTAGGGAGGGGGTGGAATCTCCATCCCTAGAGGTTTTTAAGTCCTGGCTTGACCATGCCCTGGCTGGGATGATTGAGTTGGGGAGGAGGTTGGACTCATTGACTCCTGAGATCTTGTCCAAACCTAGGATTCTAGGGGGCAAGGATAAGCATTGGCCCCCGGCCTTGCAGAGGAGGAAGTTAGAGGCTGGCTGAAAGCGAGGGCAGGGGTGAGGCTAAGGCTATGTTTTAGCCCACTGACCACACTGCCGTGGTGAGATTTGACTGTGACCAACCGCAGGCAGTGTTTGCACAGAGTTGCTTTGCAATCACCCATTTTACTAATCAGCGATAGATTTCTGCACTTTCCAGCTGTAAGTGGTATTAATTATATCCACATGCAGCAGCCTCTAAGCACCATTAATTAGAAGTTGGGATTTGAGTGTTTGCTTGACCACAGGAAACCATTATGTCCTATCAGGGTGGTCCTAGCCTCCCAAGGTCATCTTGAGAAACAGCCTCGTAAGGATCCATCGATAGACAAGGGTGCGTTGTTCCTGGTACACATTATAGTTGCTGACTAGTTGGAAAGGTGGAAGAGTAGAATGTGTCACATCACGGGGACTGTTCTCCCCCAAACTTAGTTCTCTCGCAATAAGGAGCAAGCAAATATCACATAATCCGTTTTCATTTCAACGGAATACAAGGAAACGTTAATATCACCAGCCGCTGCCCCGACAAACCCAACCTGGTCTAAGAGAGAGACATCTGAGGTGTAAAAATGATGTCTAGCCTCTCTTAGGCTGTGTCTAGACTACACCTCTCTGTCGACAGAGAGATGTAGATTAGGCCCATTGAAATTGCTAATGAAGCGGGGATTTAAATATCCTGTGCTTCATTAGCATATAAACATGGCCACCGCTTTTTTCGAAAAAGCTCTGGTTTGAAAAAAGCAGCGGCCATGTTTATGCTAATGAAGCACGGGATATTTAAATCCCCTCTTCATTAGCTATTTTGACATGCCTAATCTACATCCCTCTGTTGACAGAGAAGTGTAGTCTAGATGTACCCTTAGGCTATGTCTACACTCGTGGCTTCTTGCGCAAGTAATATGCAAATGAGGCTAAGCGTGGAATATTGCTGAGCCTCATTTGCATACCTAATGAGCCACCATTTTTTTCAGAAGAGGCTCTTGTGCAGGGAGGAGTGTCTACACTACCCCTTCTTGCGCAAGAAAAACCCTCTTGCGCAATGCCGTTACACCTATTACTTTTCAGGAAGAACGGCGTTGTGCAAGAGGGTCTTTCTTGCGCAAGAAGGGGCAGTGTAGATGCTCCTTCTTGCGCAAGAGTCTCTTCTGAAAAAAGGTGGCTCATTAGGTATGCAAATGAGGCTCAGCAATATTACATGCTTAGTCTCATTTGCATATTACTTGCACAAGAAGCCGCGAGTAGACATAGCCTTAGAGTCTCTCTCTGCTGAGGGAAAAGGTTGCCCCCTGTGTGGGATGCGTTAATGTATCGTGCCCACTGCAGAAGGAATGTGGATTCGTGCTCTACTCTAGGCGTGCCAGCATAATTTTTCTCCATGGTGCCCAGTGACAACCCAGACGCAGTTGAGGGCAGGAGGCAGCCAGTGTGGGGGCCAGTCTGTGCACCACACCAGGCCCAGTTTGAGGATGGACGTGGTGCACAGAGCTCATGCTGTCTCTGTCCACGTATGGACTTCCACTTCAGGACTTCCTGTCCCTGAGGTTAGCAATAGTTACTTAGCTCGGTAAGTACTCTGGGGGCCACAGATCAGCAGGGTTCAAAAAAGAACTAGATACATTTGTGGAGGTTAGGTCCATCAACAGCTATTAGCCAGGGAGGGTGGGGATGGTACCCTAGCCTCTGTTTGGCAGAGGCTGGGAATGGGTGACATGATCACTGAATGATTCCCGGTTTTGTTCACTCCCTCTGGGGCATCTGGCATTGGTCTCTGTTGGAAGACGGGACCCTGGGCTAGCTGGACCTTTGGTCTGACCCAGTCTGGCCGTTCTTATAATACACAAACTCATTTTATTTCATTACTACAGATCAAAAATGTTGTTGCATTTAGCTTAATGTCTGGCAGCAATTTTACTGGGCAATATTTTTCAGGTGAGCCAGAACTGGAACAAATCCTGAAGCACAAGAAAACCCAGAATGGGACTCATCTTCCCGTGTGGCCATGGCGTTGGGCCTGCAGCTACTCAGATTCTGTGACATTCAAACCACGGGATTTTTCCATGAGCCACGTAGAGCTGGAGTTTGCCGTGGTCGAACTTCAATGAAGATGACTGACAGACGGGATTCAAAACAACCTGTTGCCTAGTGGCTCATATTTTGTGAATGTGCTTGCGAGGGAATCTTTTAAAATTGGCCTTTGGCCCAAACTGAAATTAAATAGTAGCAGCAGTATGCGTCTGGTATGACCTGTTACATTATACATTTGCTCCATGTTGTGCCTCGTGATATTCTGTGTATAAGCGACTGCAGCTCAGAAACATTATATCTTGTTGGCGTTATGATGCGTCACTGAAACCAATGCTTGGTTAGAACTTAGCTAAGGTATGTCAGATGAGCTATTGTTTATGCCATTCTTGTTCTATTGTCTCTTAAGCTCCTACATTCCTCTCCTGCTTTTAATAAAAATGTTTCTAGATGGGCTTAAAATAGCACAATACACTTTAGAGAATTAATGACATTGTGAAGATGCTTACGTGGTATTGAAGTTGGTAGGGTCTATGAGGAAGGTTCAAGAAAGATGGGGAGAAGTTGGAGAGGATCCAGAGAAGAGCAACAAGAATGAAGAAAGGTCTAGAGAGCATGAGTTGTGAGACTGAAAGAATTAGGCTTGTTTAGTATGGAAAGGAGAAGACTGAGGGGCAAGAATTAGGCTTGTTTAGTATGGAAAGAAGAAGACTGAGGGGACATACTAGTGGTTTTCAAGTATCTAAAAGGGTGTCACAAGGAGAAGGGAGACAAATTGTTCTCCTCGGCCTCTGATGTAGATTAAGGCCATTGCTTCTTGTCCTATCCTCAAGGGAGGTTTAGGTTGGACATTAGGAAAAACTTCCTATCTGTCAGGGTAGTTAATCATTGGAATAAGTTGCCTAGGGAGGTTGTGGAATCTCCATCTCTGGGGATATTTTAGAGCAGGTTAGACAGACATCTAGCTGGGATGGTCCAGATGGTGTTTGATCCTGCCATGAGTGCAGAGGACTGGACTCAATGACCTCTCAAGGTCCCTTCCAGTTCAAGGGATTCTATGTTTCTTTGCTTGCAACAAAATTTGTTAAGTTTGTTAGGTGGTTATTCACTCGACAAATTCTTTTAGTGGTAGAGCTCCTCTGAGGAGCATCTACAGTCGATCAACTGTTTACTGCCAGTCACTCCAGAGCACACGTGGACAAAATACAGGGACACGGACATACAAGAAACTAGTGAGAGACCTCAACTCAAGTTCAGAACTCTTGGACTTTGGTTGGAATCCAGATCCAAACTTCTCCAGGCTGTGTCTACACTGGCAAGTTTTTCCGGAAAATCATCTGATTTTCCGGAAAAACTTGCCAGCTGTCTACACCGGCCACTTGAATTTCCGGAAAAGCACTAACGATCTAATGTAAAATCATCAGTGCTTTTCCGGAAAAACTATGCTGCTCCCGTTCGAGCAGAAGTCTTTTTCCGAAAGACTTTTGCTCGAAAGAGCCAGTGTAGACAGCATAGTTCTGTTTTCCGCAAAAAAGCCCCGATCGCAAAAATGGCGATCGGGGCTTTTTTGCGGAAAAGCGTATCTAGATTGGCCACGGACACTTTTCCGCAAAAAGCGCTTTTCCAGAAAAGCGTCCTGCCAATCTAGACGTGCTTTTCCGAAAAATGCTTTTAATGGAACACTTTTCCGTTAAAAGCATTTTCGGAAAATCATGCCAGTGTAGACATAGCCCCAGAGTTTTGCAGCTCAGGTCTACAGTTGTCACTAGAAGAAGGCAGCTTTTCCACCACTTGCTACACAGTGGTATGTGGGACATGTTGTTTTCTAAGGATGCGTCTATACAATGGCGTTCTTTGGGAATAACTGACATTATTCCGAAATAACATAGTGCACGTCTACGCTACAAGCCGTTATTTCAAAATAATGGCGAGCTGGAGGACTTCTTATTCCGACTCCTGTAACCCTCATTTCAGGAGGAGTAAGGGAAGTCGAAGGGAGAGTGCTCTTCCTTTGACTTCCTGCTGTGTAGACAGCGCCAAAAGCCAAGTTAAGCTGTTTTGACTTCAGCGACGCAATTGATGTAGCTGAAGTTGCGTTGCTGAATTCGACTTCAGCCCTGCTGTGTAGACGTGCCCTGCTAATGGGAGAGAATAGCAATAGCTCAGATTCTCCGTGTTTGCTGATTTAAAACACAGCAACCTGCACAGCATCTCTGCAGCGGGGTTGATGTGGATCATCAGCCGTGAACTCACCTGAACGTCAGAGCGCTTCAGGGTCGGAGCCGAATGAGGATTCAGATGCCCCAGCTTGACCCGACTTTCAATAAACAGTATGAAATGTGCCAGAAATGTGTAAATAAATAAACCCGCCAGACGTGTTACGGGAGCACAGTCTGACTGGAAACTTGATAGAGACGCCCAGTGTACACAGGGCTTGGGCCATAGTCAGGAGAGCTGGACCAGCAATAAATTTGGCCCATTGGCTTAGAAACTTTGCTGATCAAATACCATGAGTAACAGCAGGAGCAAAGCAAAGGCATTTGACAACAGCTATGCTTGGCAGCAGTAGATTTTTTTCCCATCGTGATCGATTATTTGTAGGTACTTTCCCCAATAATGAATGTAGATTATTATCTATTTACATTTTCCTATTACCCAGAACTATGGGGTTTAAGCATTTTTTTCAGTTTTTATCAATGTCAATGTTCACAATTGCAGGAAATCATGGGGGAGAATCAGACAATTATTTAGTGACATTTGAGATTGAGATTCAAAAGGCTAAAGAGTTATAACCATTAAAACCCAAATGCTCAATACCACAGTAAATAGCCTCAAATCAAACCCTCAGAAATTCCCAGGATTCATTTGTCTTTCTTTGCCTATCAGTGCCTGTTGATGATTAGCGATGGAAATATTTTTCTTAGTTTGGGGGTGTTTGCAGTGAAATTGACATATAAAACTAACCCTTCCATGCCTAGCTCTAGTTATTGCTCTGATTCTTTACAAGTATAGCTCCAGAACACCTGTGTTTGCTATCACAGATTTAACATGACAGCAGGCATATCCCACAGACGTCTGAAAAGCCACAAGCATCCAAATGCTGTCTTTTCCCAGTCAAAGCAAACAGAGAGCCCCTTCTGAGTGTGCACACGTTAGTTCCTTGAACAAGATCATAAGAAAGGCCACATTGGGTCAGACCAAAGGTCCATCTAGCCTTCCAATAGCGGCCCATGCCAGATGCCCCAGAGGGAGTGAACAGAACAGGGAGGCTGTGTCTACATTGGCGCGACCTTGGGCAAATGCTGTCACTTTTGCGCAAAAACTTGCTGCCTGTCTACACTGGCCGCGAGTTCTTGCGCAAGAACACTGACGTTCTAATGTATGAAATCAGGGCTTCTTGCGCAAGAACTATGATGCTCCCACTCAGGAAGAAGCCCTCTAGCACAACTGTTCTTGCGCAAGAGGCCAGCATAGGCAGGCAACATGAATTTCTTGCACAAGAAAGCCCTATGGTTAAAATGGCCATCGGAGCTTTCTTGCGCAAGAGAGCATCTACACGGGCACGGATGCTCTTGCGCAAAAGTACATCTCTTGCGCAAACACACATGCCAGTATAGACGCTCTCTTCTGGAAGCGTTCTTGCACAAGATCATGCCAATGTAGACGTAGCCGGAATGATCAAGTGATCCATCTCCTGTCATCCATTCCCAGCCCCTGACAAAGAGAGGCAAGGGACACCATTCCTACCCATCCTGGCTAAAAAAAATATTGACGGACCTAACCTCCATGAATTTATCTAGTTCTTTTTTTAAACCCTATTAAAATCGTGGTCTTTACAACATCCTCTAGCAAGGAGTTCCACAGGTTGACTGTGCGCTGTGTGAAGAAAAACTTCCTTTTGTTGTTCCCATGACACCAAATTAAATTAATAGGCAGCAGACCAAGTTCTTATGTCATGTGAACAAGTAAACAACTTTTCCTTATTCACTTTCTCCACCCTTGTCATGATTTATAGACTACAGGCAGTCCCCGGGTTACGTACAAGATAGGGACTGTAGGTTTGTTCTTAAGTTGAATCTGTATGTAAGAACTGGCGTCCAGATTCAGCCTGTTGAAACTGATCAGCGGCTGATTCCAGGAAGCCCGGGGCAGAGCAACTCTGCCTCGGGCTTCCTGTAGTCAGCCGCTGGTCAGTTTCAGCAGCAGCTAAATCTGGATGCCAGTTCCGACTTACATACAGATTCAACTTAAGAACAAACCTACAGTCCCTATCTTGTACGTAACCCGGGGACTGCCTGTAGTCTATAAATCATGACAAGGGTGGAGAAAGTGAATAAGGAAAAGTTGTTTACTTGTTCACATGACATAAGAACTTGGTCTGCTGCCTATTAATTTAATTTGGTGTCATGGGAACAACAAAAGGAAGTTTTTCTTCACACAGCGCACAGTCAACCTGTGGAACTCCTTGCTAGAGGATGTTGTAAAGACCACGATTTTAATAGGGTTTAAAAAAAGAACTAGATAAATTCATGGAGGTTAGGTCCGTCAATATTTTTTTTAGCCAGGATGGGTAGGAATGGTGTCCCTTGCCTCTCTTTGTCAGGGGCTGGGAATGGATGACAGGAGATGGATCACTTCGCGCGCGCCGCCGCCGCCCCGCCCCGCGGCTGTCCTGCTGCCCACGTGCTCCGCGGCTTTGCTCCCGGTCTCCCTGGTCTGCTGGTCTCCAACTGGGACTTTTCAGCTTAGAAATGAGGAGACTGTTTTTATCTCTCTTCATATGGCCCCCGTAAGAGTTGGAATACAGAAAAGAAGGGCACCGTGGCATGCCGAAAAAGCTTGAGAGACTTAGTGCTTTCCAAGAACTCGCCAAATGAACTTGTCTGTGAGCCACATTGCATTTGAATATGTAAAGTAGAGCGGGTTTTTCCACTTTAAGGAAAACACTTGCCATTCCATGCAGGTAGGTGGATGTGGAAGACCCGGGTTTTGATTACATTTGCAAGCTGTTTTCAGCCCGTGCATTCGATGGCTTCATATTAAATATGGAATAGTCTCTCATTCGTTTTGTAGCCAGTGGTGAAGGGATACCAACCACTTCATTTCACGTCTGCCTAGCAGCCAGTGACCAACCTGCAAGGAGCATTTCACCTGAGATAACGAGGGCACCGTATCAAAGGTCTGGTTAAAAAAAAATTCGTATGTAGGACATGACGTGCAAAACGACGCCTTGTTGCAGCGTGGGGG